CTGTGAGAGGCATGGGTGCAGGGAGGGCTGGGGTACCCAGGCCCCCAACTGGTAGAGTGAGCAGTATCAAGGGGTGTGGCTGGTGTTTAGAACATCCCAGATACTACTTGCTCTGACACATTTTTTTAAGCCTCATTTTATGGAATTATGCTTTTCATTTCCTAGCAAAGTGCTTGGCCTGTTAAGTAATAAACATGGAATGATCTTAAGACACAAAAATCTGAAGCTTGTAACCCCTTTGTTTCTGCAAGAATAAAAGTGTGGAACCCACACTCTGGGGACAATAGGTGAGGGGCAAGGTCTGGGGAGCGGGGTCCCCACCCCAGGCCTTTAAGCTGAGCAGCTGCAGGCTAACCTCCGGAAGGCCTCAGGGCCGCAGACTCGGAATGACTTTGGCCATTCCAGTGTCCGTGTCTGATGGGAACTGGGTTAAGCCCGCCCTTACAGGAAGGCGCTTTGCTGACTTGTCCTGGGAGATGTTCTCTCATGCTGCTCCATCAGCAAGCAGGCCAGGCTGCTCTCCCCACTTGGCTTTGGGTCATCCGCTTGCTGGGTGGGGTAACTAGCTGGGAGTCTAGGCTGGGCTATGAGCTGCAGAAGCTTGAGGTGGGCCTTCCCCAAAAGGAATCTGGGTCCTCCTCAAGCCCCACCACTCCCCAGGCCTGTCTTTAAAACCAGGTTAACCTGATCTCCCTCTCAGGACCTGCTGTTGGCAATCCCAGAGGCACTTGAATCAAGCAGTTTGCTGCATATTCCTGTTATTAACAAACCAAGGAGCCCTCATATTCCGATCCTGCTCCCCATGACTGCCACACGTTAGGTGGAAAGTTCACCTCTGACTCAGAGCCCTGTGTTTATTATGACCAGCTAGAGCGTCACGGAGCTCCGCTCCCTGCTTATCTGGGCATGTTTAAGGCCAAGCCATAGGATGTTTGGTTATGTTCTGTGTGCCACTTAGTGCCAGCCTGTGACAGGGGTTAGTTTCCACAGCAGTTCCTGGTTCACTTTCAGGAACTGAGGGCTGTCCCATTTCTGAGACCCCAGAACTATGAAAGGCCTGGTCGGTGAACTGGGAAAACAGCAGTTTACCAGCCCACCTCCCCGGCCCCCAGCCTTGCTTTCTTGGACCCGACATCTGAACAGGGGTCTGACCTCCCTGGCTTGTCCTTTATTCTGTCTGTATGCATCTGTTCCCTTTTTTC